ATTTGACTCTCTAAGTAAACTTACTAATCATAATTACTTAGCCCACTAAATAGACCACTCAACGCCAAATTACTTAGCCCCTAATGGTTCTCTCATAATTACAATTCGACTCTCTCAAAATCGACCACTTAGCTCACTAATGGCTCTCTCATAATTACAATTCGACTCTCTAAAAATCGACTACTTAAAAAAAAAATTACTTAGCCCACTAATCATAATTATACCTAGCCTTCTCCTATTCACTTCTCCAAAAGTCAACGCCAAAAAATATTTATCCCAAGTTGATTTTGTTAAAAATGGTTTTGGCAGATTAGTATGATATTCACAATCAAACACATATACACAATCGATTAAATAAAATATCAATTTTTCAAGCTATAGAAGAATTTACACTCGCAGTAGAAGTTTGGTGCAATATGTTAACGGCAAAGTCGACATTAAGACATCAATAGAAATGGAGAAACTTTTAGAAAAGAGAAAATTTTACTTGGTTATTATGATATAAAATTGAATCTAAAAACCAATTCAATTGTTTTTTTTTTAAACTTGAATTGTAAATGGAAATTGACAAAAAAAAAAAAATTGTAAATGAATTTATTGTCAATGTTATAAATTGAATGAAATTAGTGTCAACAAAAAAAAAAGAAAAATATTGTTTTATATAAAGAAAATTGAACATTATTAGTAATTTTTAACCACAAAATAATAATTTTCTAATCGATTTGATTTCTAAAAATATTTAATCACTAGTTTATGTATTGATTTCAAAGAAAAAAACGAGTAATTACAAGTTGCAGTGAAGGCTTAATAGATACAAAACTTCTTATGTAGTATGGTTAGTAGAAGAAAACAAAGACAAGATCATTAAGTGACTGAATTTTCTTATAAATTCATGAACTATGTATGTCCCCACATGATTTACAAAGTGAAAGGGCTTGGAGGAGGCTGAAAGATTGGAAGTTTCGACATTGTTTCATTTCCGGTAAGCACATTTTGCGCAATCGTATCCTCCAATTGTATCAGATCATCAACTCGCATTACGTTCTCTGGTATAACCTTCTCTCCATCAACTTTAGCAAGAACCTCAAAATGCATTCTCATTGTCTCGGGTTTAGTTCGCCATGCCGGGAAGTTTAAACCTTCAAGATCACTTTCCTTCAGCTTCTTCTCTACACCGAAACCAATCTTCATAAACGTTTGAGCCGCGACATCCACTTTTAACACCTTAAAGGAACCCTTTTCCTGAGACTTGGGACCCAAAACAGAGGTCAATAGCTTCTCAAAGCCGATTAAATTAGCATTTGAGCCATTGATTGAAGTGACTGGCCACATGGTTGTGAACTCTCTTGGGGTAAGAACAGTAGTAGTGGAGACACTACTACTTTTGTATTTAGACATGGAAGATAGTTCCACGAGTCCAGGCGCAAGACGCTTAAGCTTAAGTTTGTTGTCAGGTGATTGTGAAGTTGTTGCAAGAGAAGTAGGACCAACAATACGAAGCGAAAGAAGCGGAGTTTCTTGATCATTCGAAGCACGTCGAAGCTGCTCAGCTAAAGAGAGAAGTCCAGAGGCAAATTCATTAGAGCTTTGGTTTAACGGAAGTGGCAAATCAATCGGATGGCGCAAACTAACTGATCTAGCTCCTTTCACTGTTACAACAGCACCATCAGCTAATATCACCTTCTTCAAAACACCAGCATCCACATCATACTGCAAGATTAAGGACAAAAAACAATCAATACACAACAACCAATTTCGATTCTTCAAACATATCCAATGGATAATAGGTATTTAACTTACAGGTAACGAAAGGCGCATATTGTTTGCATCTTGGATCCAAAGTTCCATAGGACCAGCAAGTTGAAACGGAGCTAAAACAGGTAATACATCACTAGATTTCTTCTTCTTCTTCAAAGGAACCAAACCATTCTCATCTATGGATCCAATGGGTTGTTCTACTTGGAAAATGGGAAGATCCACGTATTCCCATCGATTCACATCTTCTAGAAGCTTAAACGGAAGAACTTTGTTGTCGATATCTAGATCAAATTCATATGAAACAGCATGACCTACTAATGCATCCCTAACATCAAACCCAGAAATCTTGACTTCCTCGGACTGAAATCCAAGACCTTTCACAATTGCTTCCTTCAAATCCTATCAAAACCACAGATTTCAAAAAAAAAAAAATGACTTTCTTCTTCAATCTCTCTACAAACTACCAAGAAAAGACAATCACAAATACAGAATGATAAAGTTCTTACCGAGATGGCTTTAGGGTAAGGAGGATTAGCTTGAGGAGACGAAATCAAAGCTCTAGACGATGGCAAAACTGTGAACAAAATCAGAAACAGAGCTCCGACACAAACCAATAATCTCCGACCCATCATGGACTGAATAAAATAAGAAATCAAAATATAATTACGAGACGAAAAAGCCCTGCGAGAAGAACAAACGAAATTAGCTAGGGAGGCTCGAAGGTCCTTTTACGATTGCGCAAAAATTAGGAGAAAGACCCCAAATTAGGACTTGTTATTAATTTTGTTTGTTGCTATGAATAAAGAAGAATGTGGATGGTTCTGGAGTCATATTTTAAATGGCGTGTTCTTGAGGTAAGAGATGATGACGTGGAGGGTATTAACCAATAAGAATGAAGAGAGTGATGTGGCGCGAGATCAACAGATGTGTGACGTGGGAAATAACAAAGGGTATATGTAACGACGTCGTTTCATGAAGCCTAAATACGAAAAAGATATAAACGTTTAAATTGGCTTCGCCCGGGTTCGAACCGGAGACCTTCAGTGTGTTAGACTGACGTGATAACCAACTACACCACGAAACCTTTTTGTTCTCAAGTCGCCATTAAAGTATTTATCAGTAAATAACAAAGCTGCTCTTACCAAACTAAAGATTGTTTACCATTAAGGCATTAACCAACTTAACATAAGTGTATTATTGATTAACAAATTTATTTGAATTATTTTAAGTTTTATAACGAAACGAGATTAAACCTTAGGCGATTTAACCCAGTGCCTCTACAGTAACCGAGACAGTTTTCTCCTCCGCTTGGCCGGCCGGCAGCGGCTCCGTTAGCGTCGGGACCGGCCCATCCGTTTATTTTCTTCCTGCTTTTCGTTTTCTTCGGATCTGCTTCACCTTCCTCTGATCGGAATCTCCCGCCGGACTTGAGGTCCGCGTCCTCGGAAAGGTGGTAGTCGAGAAGTCTGGGTTCGGATGGTGCTGTTGGTTGTGCTGGGTGGGGTTTGAAGATTCGGGGCCTTTGGGTTTGTTCGGTCTTCTTCCTGATCTAGTTTCTTTGCCGATCTCTGGTGTTTCCTCGTCGGACCGTTTTCTCCCTTGGCCTATGAGTACCGGCGTTGGGGTTTGCCGTAGTGTGGAGCTCAGATCTGGTGTTTGCCTCGCTGTGGCTTGGTTTGCTCGAGATCTCCGTTCCCTTGGGCTCATCTTCGGTTTGGGCTTACGGTGGGCCTTCTCTTTGGCTGGGTTGGGCATCTTCGTGCTCAGTTGGGCTTAGTTATAATTCTAGGCTGGGTCATTTGGTTTTCGATGAGTGTCTTCTCTGCCTCTTTTGGGATGTGGATGCTTGGTCTAGGTTCTCGGTTTGGTTTGGGATCCTAGCGGGATGGTTCTTTGATCTTAGGATAGGTAGTTTCGAAAGATTAATTTTGCTATGTTTTCTCCTCCTCGGCTACGACTTGACTTACGGTTGTTAGTTTTTGGGGTTGAGCTTTAGAATCTTTCGGGTTTATCTTAGATGGTTTGCCATCTGCTGTTCTTATTACTGATCGTAGTGGTCGGTTTGGTTTTATTGGCCTCATGGAAGATGTGTCTCATGCGGAGTAGACCTTTGTTCATCTTGTTGCAAGTGTTGTCTTATGTACAGATTCGACCTTGCGCTACTACCCTCTTGTATAGGGACAAGCTCTGACTGGTCTTATGCAATGGGTCGTCAAATTCTCAGCCTAGTCTTGTTGTAGGCCTACGATTCTCGTTGTTTCTCTGTGGTTTCTTTGTTCCTCTTTCATGAGTTGAATTTCTATGTAACCCTCCGATCATTTCTATCAATAATATTTTCAGCAGAAAAAAAAAAAAACGAAACGAAGTTGGTTGGTACAACCAATAAATATTTACCAACTTAACATGTGTATATTCCTTATTTAAACATAAAAACAAACATTTTTCCTCCGTGAAAGAAAAGAGAAACGGACATAATATAAGGAGCCAGTCACTGAAACGAAAGGCCACTAACAAAAAGTAGAGACCAATCACAAATTCACAAATCCACCCAAAAAAAAAAAAACTCGATCTTCCACGAAAATGGCGGCCACTAGAGTGATGATGATATCATCTGCAGCATCCGCTAGCCAAACGACGTCGTCTTTCTTCACAAAACGACCCTTTCTTCTTCCTCCGACGCCGAAAGTTCGCGGCTTTAACGGTCTCTGCTTCAACAAGAGAGCCTTATTGGTGAAATCGAAGAGACCCTTCTCTTGTAATGCCATTTACAATCCTCAGGTTCAAACAATCGAACAAGGCCAATCCGAAACCTTAGATTACAGAGTTTTCTTCCAAGATGGATCCGGAAAGAAGGTGAAAGGATCGAAATTTGTGTTTTTTTTTATAAAGATTTTCATTGTTCTGATTGTTCTGTGTGGGGTTTTGGTTAGGTATCTCCATGGCATGATGTACCATTGCATTTGGGAGATGGTGTTTTTCACTGTATAATTGAGATTCCTAAAGAGTCGAGTGCAAAAATGGAGGTTGCTACTGATGAAGCTTTTACTCCTATTAAGCAAGACACTAAGAAAGGGAAACTCAGATATTATCCGTAAGAGTTAACTAGTTTTTTTTGGCCTTTGCATCATCTTTGTGGTGATCTCTTTTGATTGACTGGCTCTCAATTCTATATACAGTTACAACATAAACTGGAACTATGGATTGCTTCCACAGACATGGGAAGATCCAACTCATGCAAACACTGAGGTTGAAGGTGCTTTTGGAGATAATGATCCAGGTAAGAGAAGATATCTGGGGTTTTTAGATGGGTTTCATTACAGAGCTTAAGCTTACTTTTGGGTTCTTGTTTGTTTGTAGTTGATGTTGTTGAGATTGGTGAAAAACAAAGGAAGACTGGCGAGGTTGTAAAGGTCAAGCCTTTAGCTGCTTTGGCTATGATTGATGAAGGAGAGCTAGATTGGAAGATTGTTGCCATTTCTTTAGATGATCCTAAAGCTCAACTTGTGAATGATGTTGAAGATGTCGAGAAGCATTTCCCGGTATTGATCTCAAAGAACCACCAAAGATTCATGTGTTAGTCGACTTTTGGTTTTCTGACTGTAGATGTTGCTTGCTCTCAGGGTACTCTTACAGCTATTAGAGCTTGGTTTAGAGACTACAAGATTCCAGATGGAAAACCTGCTAATCGGTTTGCTCTTGGAGACAAACCAGTAAACAAAGTAAAAATCCTTTCACTATTTTCATAATTTGGTTTATAGAGATTTCAAGGAGCTTATTCTGTTTTCTTTTTGTGTGTGTTTACAGGATTATGCTTTGAAGATCATCCAGGAGACGAACGAATCATGGGCTAAACTAGTCAAGAGATCAGTTTCTCCTGGAGATCTTTCACTTTTCTGAAACAGTTTAAAGATAATCTCGCAATTTTCTAATCATCTAGCTCAGTCATTTGAAACTGACTATTTGTGACAAATTTGCCTTGTTGTTTGGATGCAATTTGAACAATTGAGTTTCTTTTTTTGCCAATTGAAAGAATGAGAAATAATAATCAAGATAATCATATTTCTGTTCTTTAGAGAAAATCGTGACTTTTTCATAATTTTACAACAGAGAAACAAGAACTATACAAGTGAAGGTAATTGACTATGTTTCAGGCCCATTTCTTTTGTAAAAGAGTAGACAAAGAGATGAGAATGAACCACAAAATTCTTACAGTGACTTTGTGGTTTTCATCTCATGCTTCCTCCAGAAGAGGTGCAATGGTTGATTCCCTGGTCACTGCATCTTGCTCGGAATCTTCGTTATATCGGTCCACACTATTCAGGAAAATCCCTGTGGAGTCACAAACGCAGTAAAAATCATTACTACCACATTAAACTAAAAGGAACTTTTGATTTTTGAATTCCCAGTGTGGTTAAAATCCGAACCTATGAACCAAATTGCAGCAGCTGGAAAGAAAACAAATGTAAGAACAAGAGAAGTCACTCTCCAATTGTTCACATAGTCCTGCGTGGGCATATTAGAATACATTCAGAAGTCAGATACAGTGATGGCTCAAACTAGTCCAGACAAAGAAAGTGCGTTAAATTGAAGGGTTAATTTGATTAAGACATTGGAGGCTTGATACAAGAATTTGTTGATACAACTGAGAAACCAAACCTGAAGAACTCCAACGAGTGGTGAGGAAGGTACATCTCCAAAGATATGGATAGAGACAGTAGACATAGCCATTGCAAGTGGTCTCAAACTTGGTTTGACACAATGGAGACTAATGAAATTCACAGGACCCTAAAGATCATAAAATAAGTAAAAAATGAGGTGGGCTTGCAAAACATAAAAATTATAACAGAACCGAGAATTTGAATGGTGGAAACTGAGATTACCTGAATGGCAAAGATGAGAAGCTCACCAACAGCGAAAAGAGCTAAAAATGCATACATGCTCTTGAAACAGAAAGCAGCAAAGCAAAACAGCGCTCCTAGAAATGTCGAAATTGAAAGCAGCTGCAAAATACAGAAATACAAGATCAATCAATATGATGGTTGAACGTTTTTTTATTAAAATCACGTGTAATTTCTATCCACGGGTCTGAAATTTGAGAATATGTTGTCTTCTAAGTGAGGATCTTACCTTGAAAGCATTTGAAATTGTACTATCCACGAAATCTAAAATCACTCCTCCTGATAATGTGCCAACGATTCCACAGAAAACTGTGATCCCTCCAAATATCATATCAGCGTTTTCCTGCAACAGATAAATCCATCAATCGATATACTCTTACACGTGTAAACGAGAACGTTCTGGTAATTTCTTACCATCTTGTATATGTTATATCCAGCCTTTGGTCCCCAATACGAATATGCGCCTAAAACAAAGTTGTAAGCAATATACCCTG